TTTTTTTTTTTTGCGAACAATCATAGTGTGTAATTACGTGCCTGTTCATTTTTTATTTTTATTTGAAGAATCAAAGAAGAAAGCTCCTCAGGATTTCAGCAAAATGAGTTATAAATAGAACACGATATGTTCGCCTTTTATCGAGAGCGTTAAAAAAATAATGCAATTAAGTAGACTATACTTTTAGAAAGAAATTTAAAATAAAAAGATAATTACAAAAAATAAAGCGAGAACGAAAAGTTTTAAAGTTCAAGTAAAGTACTTTAACAAAAATCTACCAAAATGAGAAAACCTTGACCTTTTTACCAACTCGAATTTTTTCTACCTATTTTGGTAATTATTTACCAGAGTGGCAACCCTGCCTACGAGCCCTATCGATCCTATTGGCTGCATTTCTTTATACATTCCGGATAATCTCATTTCACAGCCGGAATAAACAGAATGTGTTTGAAATATACGTTAACATATCATCAGGAACGTTCTAAAGAATAAGTAAACAAAAAAGTTTATTTCAAACGTTCAGAATGAATAAAGAAATTCAGCCATTATAAATTTTTGTAATTTGGGAATTGTAGGTATTCTACATTTAAGCTATCGAAATTGTATACACTTCTTTTCCGAAAACTCACTGAATTTTATTCGGTGAGTTTTTCGTTGTGAGTACATTTTCTCTCAGTTACAGAACCCAGCCCCATATCTCCGAAGAAAAAAAATAAAAAAATAAAATTTGCTTGAACGCATGTTAGCTTATTTCATATATAGAATGCATAAAAACAAATTGAAGCGAAATCCGTCCGACTTAAAATAGAATGGCTCATATGTATGATACATACGTAATCAATATAAAATTAAAGCAAAAGCAAAAGAATTCAATTATTCTTTATAATTTTAGTTCGGCTAAAATTTCACAGAATCATAGCATGCTATGAGACATGGTACAAGCAAAAGTGAAAGAAAATTTATCGCTACATTTCTTCATGTACGTGATATGGCAGCGCCAAATTTAAATTTCCCAACAAGGTTGCATGGAGCTACTGGCCTAATCGGTGCGAAATCTTATATTACTTAATTTCCAGCAAATCCACGAATAATATGGTTAATGTGAATAAGTACCACATACAAAAATTTACCTTCCTTTTGTTAACTACTTTACTGCACTTTTTCACGTTTATTATCTTTCCAATTGATGAAGGATATTAAAATTTCCCATAAGTGGCAACAAACGCGAAACAAGCAGCCCTGCCAACCGTAAGAAGCCGAACTCCATGTGTCACTTTTCACAATTTTTGCGAACGGCGGCTTTTTTTCACAAGCGAGAAGAGAAATTTTTATAAAACTGTGAAAAATTGCATTTTAACCCATTTGAAGTGTTTATTAAGAAATTACAAAAGTTGAAGGACAAGCTTTATAACTTGTGAACCGATTCATTCATTAGATTGCGCATCAATTTTGCGATAATATTATGCGCTAATAGCGAAGGCGTGAGCGTAGAAATTTGCCTTGTCGGGTGAACTTTTGTAAATGGCTAGAGAGATTTTCAGTTCCAATACGGCGTATACCATCCCCGTTCACATTGATGATGTACATTGAACACACACCCTTGGAAGATAATCTGCAATTTTTCTTGAAGAATCACATTCCCGCCAGTGACGCCAACTCAATACTGGCGCATGTACGCGNTTTTTTTTAGGAGAATGCTAACTAAATGTTTTATTTGTATTTAATAGAAAAGCCGAAATATCGTAAGTCGATGTTTATGGCGCCTACGGTAACCCATCGTTTGGTAAAAAATACATCCTATGCTGATGTCGAATTTTCTGATGATGATGATGAACCTCAAATAGTAAAAGGTTTTGGCATTGGATGTGCTAGTGGGTCTGGCTTGAATAATGGGCGCGCTATTAAAAAGGTACCACGCATTTTCAATATCCCCATTTTGCGTGATAGTGAAAATGTTCGGGCGCCGGTTTCGAAACCGCCACCTCCACTTATTGAGCCACGCAGTGGCAGCATCCTAGCGACATCACTTATGCCTGAGATCGATTTGACGAAACGCAAACCAATGTCGTATTCGGAGGTCCTGCGACAGAACTTACAAATGCCTGCCAGTGGTGGGCACGTCTTGGGCAGGCGTTCGGCCAGCTCAATTTCTTCTTCGGGAGGAACATGTAAGTATTTGAAATGACCCACAAATAAAATGTATAACTTATACAACAAATTTTCTTCTGGGATGCAGCAGCTTCTAATGGTGGGCTGAATATATTGGGAAACATTCGCTCAAATATGTGGGCTACTAATGCTCGTTCAATTCTAACACAAGAAAAAGAAACCGAGGAGCATGAAAAGTACCAGCAGCTACTAGAACAGGTTGTACCGTGTTTGTATGGTGCATCAGAGGGTGCAAATGTACACTCTTTTGCGAAGCCTCCATTCGGCTTTGATGCGCCGCAACGTCGAGGCGCCCTGCACGCAAATAATAGCAACCAGAAACCAGTAGCCAATCAACGAAAGTCTCTCGGTTTGCAAAACAGCTTGCCACGCGCATTGAAAAGACCACCGCTTTCGTCTACCATCAATTTGGACGACGACGATGATGAAGAGAACAATGAGGATGTTACATTCGTTAGTGTGAAGGACCAGCGTCCTATACGAAATGTTCTGCCAACGGTGATTGTCGACGATGATGAAGATGAGATAAGTGAAATAATTGATTTGGATGACGATGAGCGGCAAGTGGTTTCGGCATGTACAAAATTAAAAGAACAAAATGCATGCGGCGTTCCTTTGGGCACAAAAGACAAAAAGAAATGTGTTACACGCCTGTGAGTAACTAGCTATATACTGTTTTAAATGTAATTCTTAGAAGTATATTTTTTATTCCATAGTCCATACGTTGAACCAGTCAACACATTGCAAGAACGTTTCAATACTTCCCCACATTTAAAGTCCAATTGGCTGCAAGCACTACAATCTAAATGGACTGAAAAGAAGAAGAATCGTCTGCAAGAGGTTAATGACACGGTGAATGTGTAAGTTGATTACATAGAAGCTTTGGAAGGCAAATTATATATTCAAATGCTATATTAACCCCTAGGGTGGAGAAGCTGACAGCTGAGCGGCGTGCAGCTGAATTGGAAATGCAGGATCGTCTGCGTAAGATACAAATTGTCGATCCAGATTTGCTCGTGATTGATGATTTTCCAGTACAAGAAGTCGAAGAAGAGCCTGAATTTGTTGAACTAACACCTGAATATCAAGCGCGAATAAAGGAGGCAATTATAGGGCCACCCGACCAGGTAGAACGTGAATTAAACTTAAGCTTAAACCTAATTTACACAGATAACTTTTCTTCNGACGATGAGCGGCAAGTGGTTTCGGCATGTACAAAATTAAAAGAACAAAATGCATGCGGCGTTCCTTTGGGCACAAAAGACAAAAAGAAATGTGTTACACGCCTGTGAGTAACTAGCTATATACTGTTTTAAATGTAATTCTTAGAAGTATATTTTTTATTCCATAGTCCATACGTTGAACCAGTCAACACATTGCAAGAACGTTTCAATACTTCCCCACATTTAAAGTCCAATTGGCTGCAAGCACTACAAACTAAATGGACTGAAAAGAAGAAGAATCGTCTGCAAGAGGTTAATGACACGGTGAATGTGTAAGTTGATAGCATAGAGGTTTTGGAAGGCAAATTATATATTCAAATGGTATATTAACACCTAGGGTGGAGAAANGTTTCAATACTTCCCCACATTTAAAGTCCAATTGGCTGCAAGCACTACAATCTAAATGGACTGAAAAGAAGAAGAATCGTCTGCAAGAGGTTAATGACACGGTGAATGTGTAAGTTGATTACATAGAAGCTTTGGAAGGCAAATTATATATTCAAATGCTATATTAACCCCTAGGGTGGAGAAGCTGACAGCTGAGCGGCGTGCAGCTGAATTGGAAATGCAGGATCGTCTGCGTAAGATACAAATTGTCGATCCAGATTTGCTCGTGATTGATGATTTTCCAGTACAAGAAGTCGAAGAAGAGCCTGAATTTGTTGAACTAACACCTGAATATCAAGCGCGAATAAAGGAGGCAATTATAGGGCCACCCGACCAGGTAGAACGTGAATTAAACTTAAGCTTAAACATAATTTACACAGATAACTTTTCTTCGTACTTAGGTTCTTGTGTCGAAATTCAATCTAAACATTACACGTCGTGATATACACACGCTACTTGGACACAATTGGCTCAACGATGAGGTTATCAATTTCTATATGAATCTGCTTACCGAGCGTGGTGATACAAGACATGAATCACACGGTTTACCTACTGTCTATGCAATGAACACATTCTTTGTGCCACGCTTACTATCGGCTGGTCATAGTGGTGTAAAGCGTTGGACACGCAAGGTGGATATATTTTCCAAAGATATAATTCCCGTACCAGTGCATGTTGGTGGTGTGCATTGGTGTATGGCTATTATACATCTGAAGAATCGCACCATTAAATATTATGATTCAATGGGCACACCAAATCCTAGTGTACTGAAAGCACTCGAACAATATCTCAAGGATGAATCGTTGGATAAGCGAAAGCAATCATTCGACACTAGCGGATTTGAAGTCGAGTCTGTACGTGAAGTACCACGACAGATGAATGGCAGTGATTGTGGAGTATTCAGTTGTATGTTTGCCGAGTATATAACACGGAATCGGGAGATAACATTTACCCAACAGCATATGGAATACTTCCGTCACAAAATGATATTGGAAATTGTGCGTGGCGATTTGTTACAGTAAAAGGAACAATAAAGTCTAATATAAATGTATTTGATCATGATTGGTAAAAGAAGTATATTAAAAATCAGGTGTTTGTGGTGGATAGACAGGAAGAGAAATACAAAATTTCATAGATGTTTAAATGAAACCAGAAATGGTTATTGATTTATGGTGAGTGCAGATATTAAAGGGAGCTGCAATCACATGTACCAATTACCAATTCGTGGCCAATGCGCACATCCCAAATTCAACGCTATTAATCTAAAGCTTTATTGATGTTGAATAATGCGCATATTCTTTTCAGTGTAGTTCTTTCAGTTAAATAATAGAGAACAAGGGCAGTCTATATTAAACAGAATTTTGGCGCAATAGTACATTACTACAAATGATTAAATGCCTAGTTTAAAATTTGCATAAATACAATATGTAACCTAAACAAATATAAATTATAATATAATGCTCTTTTTAAGTTACTGTGGATACATTTGTATTTTTAACTTTCTAATTTATGTATCGTGTGTCTTACTTTAAATATTGTGAATTTGCTAAAATCATTTACGTTGTATGTTGCTTGGCAATTTTAAATTGGGCACCTTCTCATCTTTAAATTGGATATCAAAAAAAAAAAAAATCAAGAAACTAAAAGGGCAGTGCTTGGGTTCTACATTAATTTCACCTGCAACCAAACTACTATATAATTAATTTATCTGTCTATAATAAGCCGTCTGCAGTTATAATGTAGCATTTCTGAATTACTTACGTACATATAGTTTTTAAAATGAATTTGTATGTCACTGATAAAAAGAGAATAAATAGTATACAAAAAAGTAATTCCGCCACTCTTTGGCATGTCTTAGTCTTAAGCATATCTATTTGGTATGCAATACATTTTCTAGGGGTTTCACAGGGGGCATGTATTACATGTAATAAATAGTTAGAAGCCCAGCATCGAAGAAAAAAAAAAACGAAATACATAGATATAAAAAAAAAAAACTAAAAGGCTACACAGAAATGACATAATGGTATATTGTGTAATCGGCTCCTTATTGTCGTGATATTGGAACAAAATTATAGAAATAATATGGCGTTCATATTAGCATAAAGAAGATTAGAAATTCAAATATGGACACCAACAGGTAAAAAGTATTAGTTTTCTCTGACGGAGTATTTATGGACCAACCTATTAACTAAATTCATTTATTACTTGTGAAAAATTACTTTTTGTGACTCGACACCATGTTTGAGAAGGTAGTGGAAAATTCATGCAAAAAGTGTATTTCAACACCCGTCGCGTATTCTCGAACCTTTTTTTTTAATATTCCAGCAAAAAATTCTATTCGTACCACAGGAGCTATAAAACACGCCCGTTTGCGGCGATAAAAGTAAGAAGGAGGAGTTAGGTGTACTTGAATTATTATCGAGACCTATGACAGTCTTCCGAAGTGGGAGGTTTTCACATACATACTTATATTTAAATTGATAAGTATAACCCAATGTTAAAAGTTAATTTTTTTTTAAGCAATTAAAAAAAATGATGCTATTTGAAGTTTTTAGCGAAAGAAAATTAGCGTAGCAGTTTCTAGGATTTCACTGCTGTTCATAACTCATAAAATGGGAGAAAAAAGTCACAAGTCACTTTGATATTCAGGAGAATTCAATAAATTTGCATACTAATTTGCAACTTTTCAATCAATTTTAGATTTTTTTGAAAATGGAGTTTTGTAGCCTATTAAAATTTAAGTATAAAATATGCAGCTTGAAGATTATAAAGAATCACTTTAATTTTTGATAGGTTTCTTTGCTGAAGGTGTTTCGCATTTTCCATACAAAAATTTTTTTTTATGCCGGAAAATGCGTTAAAAAATTGCCAAAAATCAACGGTGAGTCCTGGCTACTTCAAACTTGCACTTTATTAAAAAATCGGATTAAAAAATTGGCAATTTGCATGAATTTTTATTGGATTCTCCTAAATTTCGCACAAAGTTTAGAATTGGTATTCTTCTGTTTTTTGTTGTAGTACTAACCATATTTTTATAAAAAACTAGCCAGAAAAAATTAAAATAAAAATTGTCGCATATGTTGTGAAGAATTCTCTAGGCATATAGTTTTGGCAGTGAGTGTATTTACATTAGACTGCATCACCAAAAAAGGTTGCCGTTTTTTCCGCCGGCATTGAACATTTTTTTTTTATATTTTAAGACTTCCACCAAAATATTTCGGAAAAGTATTAAGATTTACGTGAGCTGGACCGATTTGAAAATACCCCCAGAAATTGAGTTTTTTATGAATAACAAGTAAGAAAGTCTAAGTTCGGGCGGACCCGAACATTAAATACCCGGGGCAAGTATTAAATATATGTTTTTTCACCCTTCCGAAACCTTCCGCTAGATGGTAAGCCGAGGTGTATCAATTTTGAGTAAATTAGGGTCCTTCAATTTCGAAATATTGAAGTTTAAAGCATTTCTTAAATTTACCGTTATATGAGAATCGGCCGTTATTTTAGTCCGATTTCAATAATTTTCAACGTTTTGCTTACACGTGGCAAGTACAATAACCATACCGAGTTTGGTACAAATTGGTAGAACGGTTAC